AGAAATTTTAAATTGGTAACTATGGAGAAGTATTCAGAAAGGAAGTTAGAAACTGTAGTTAAATCTTCATGAAAATCAGTCTCAATGAGCATAACAGAATGGTGAAAACCTAATTTGCATTTCAGCTGCTTTTTTCAAAAACTAACTATTGCTCTAATGATTATTGACTTATTAAAATGTTTAAATTTTAAGGATTGTTTATAAATTTATTGAAGATAAAAGTGAACATTTGTATATATTAGTTGGGTACTATATACGAAATATGTTAATTGATATTTCTCATACATTTTTGTTGTATGGCCTAGAAATTTGGTGTCAAGACTGCTGTAAGCATTATGTTATTGTCCATCTGATAAAAGATTTTTATTCTGGCAAGGCAACATGTATTAGATATTTGTTGCCATGCCAGTGCTTGTTGTCAAAGTTTTGTCATTATGTATCATAACACTTTTTTTTTTTTTTGTTGATCTGATTTCTTACTGTATAAACTAAAGGTGATATAAATTAGTATGTCTAGTTACAGTCACCTATAACTGAGAATGCACAATGAACTTTATATACTCTTACATGACAAGACAGTGAAGCAGCACCAGATATCATAGTTACAGCAAACCAGCTGCATGGTAGCAATGGGCACCACATATTATTTACACTAGTGATTTGCTCTAGCAAACAGTAATAATTATGTTTTCAAACAAATTAACATATTCAGTTGTAAAATTAGTAATATACCGCATGTAAACAAAATTTTAAATAAATGTTATATTTTAACACATCTTCATGGATGATTACGTGCCTTCGTGAAGGTGACCAGTACACTGTGTCCCTTTGATCTTTGGTGTCAGTGCTTAATCCTTTCTAGATGGGCTTCCGATATATGCATTCCCAACAAACATCTCTCACAGCTGGGTGTTCCACCCGTGCATCACTGGAGAATGAGCTTAAGGGGCAGGTGATGCATATGTACATTTTAGATTGAACCATATTTTAAAGATCACTGGATGATATTCACTACCTTTGAACTGAACATAGTTTTATGATCCTGACTCACTTTCTAAAGAGTTAGCGATATAGTTAGTGATGCTGCTATGTACATTTTGTGATATGGAGATAGAGATTACTGAGTGCCTGCCTTCTACTTTCTTTGAAAGATTTCTTTTTCTTATAAATAGTCTTTCTTGTGTTTTTTAAATTAAAAGTTTTATTAAAGTTTAATGTATTTTGTAAAATTAAAAACTTTTAATTTTGAATAGCTATTCTGAAAATAATTTCTCAAAGTAAACAATTTTTTATACATATTTTTATGTAACGTAAGTGAAAAGGATTATTAAATGTTAATTTTAACGTGTATGATAACTTAAGTAATAATCTGAAACAGTACCAAAAATTATGGCATTAGGATTAAAACCTTTTTTTATTTAAAACTTTTCCCAAAGTTGGACTTCGGGATACAAAACTCCTGTCCTGTAGGACGGTTCCTTTCGACTTCCATCCGTCCTAAGGGAATGTCTTAAACGCACAGTCTAGAAAAGGTTAACAGTAGTACAAATAATGCAAGAACTATGCAACACTGTAGTGGATTAACCCTTTCGACCCAACTTTTGCATGATTAAAATTTTACTATGAAAAGTAGTTTAGTGTAAAGTTTACATAATAAAAGAAGTGTAATACGAGTGTAAAGTTTTTAATTTTCCTCCGTTTCCTAAAAATTTCCTGGGACAGTATGTCCCAATCGTATTGTCAACTGAGACCATTTGTCCCAATCATCTAGGATATTACGTTTTTTCAGAAAACAAAACTAAAATTTACAGTAATATATAATGTGAATATTACAAAACATAAACATAAACATATTGAAACTGTGTCACATGCACTTGCTCATATACAAGAGAAATTTTCATGTATATTTCATAAACACAAATGTATTAGCATGTAGTAATTTGATCACTGGTGGGACATATTAACCCACTGTTAAATACGATTGGGACAGTATATCCCCCAAAAAGAATTTATTCAAAATTTCTTAAATTTGACATTAAAAAATTTAAATTACTACTTAAATAAGAACATTTTCATACTAAGTATGCCTTAAATATAATTCTACTTACTGTAAAATTTTGAAAAAATAAACAAATCGAAACTTGAATAATCGGCATGCTCGAAAACATGTGTTCCATCTGCAATCTAAAAGTGTACTGCAAACGTAAAAACCCATTTAAAAATGGGGTTTATTTACCCAATAGGGAATGAAATCTAATCTCTGGGGCGTATGTACCCATTAGGATTGAAAGGGCATCCCAACCATTACAGTCTTGTAGTAATTTGATCACTGGTGGGTCATATTAACCCACTGTTAAATATGATTGGGACAGTATATCCCACAAACACTTATGATACTGTTCAAGTTCTAGGAAACCACAGTATCCATGTAACAGTATTTTTCCTTAATATTTTTATTAATGACCATTAATGGAAACAAAAACAAAAAAACATTCATTTTAGTTGCTTATTTCAAAACAAAAACAAAAAACTTTTCTTTTTTTCTTTCTTTTCTTTTTTTTTTTCTTTTTCTTTTTCTTTTTCTTTTTTTTTTTTTTTCAGTTGATATAATTCTTAATATAATTAGGTGTATGTAAATAATAAATTTCTCTAATATAGAAGTTTATACAGACTTGCATAGTGTTGAAAACTGAAGTATATTACTTAATTACTGAAGTATATTAATTTCTTTCCTATGCATTGTTGGATGCTCACTTTCAATGGAAATCCAGAATTTGACCAAAACCATGTCATTAGATCTTGTTTTGAATGAACCATCCAGTTATGAACCATTAAGTTCTTCTTTTAAAGTTAGGGTCCTAGGATGAATGGAAGTGCAAGAGAATGGATTCCTCACTCATTCGTGTAGTTCTATAAACTGGGATTAAAAGTAATAATCAATTTTTTTCAACAGTTCCCCTAGGTAGGATACTATAAAACTTAAAATTTGTTGGCATTCATTTCACTTTTTAGTTCCTCCAATAATTCAAACATATCAAGATTCCCTTTTATGAATTGAATATGTTTTCTCTAGTGCCTTGCAGTAACTTATTCAGTTGATTCAGTTGATGAAAAATATCTGCTAAATAAGGTAGCATATGCATCTACATTTGATTCTTGAAATATTTAGTAAAATTTTGTTTGTCATTTTGTTGGAAATATGCATGTGTTTTTTCCATTAGCTCTGTCATTTTGTTGAAAATGTGCATGTGTTTTGCATGTGTGCATGTGTTTTGTTGAAAATGTGCACCGGATTTTAGTGTAAAGCAACAGATTTGTATGCTCTTTATCGATGTTTTCACAGAGCTTTCTAAAAATTCTGAATTGAATTGAGTGTACCATTTTATAACATCAGCAAGTCAGTGCTATGTGCTGGCTGATCTTACGGATGAAGTGAATGCCCGAGACCCAGAACAGATCACTCATTTCCACCAAAGCCCAAGTTGTGCTAAAAAGAAGAACTAAGTCGAGAACTATTAAATCTCTCCATTTTCCTGGTAATCTGAACATTAATAACAAAACAGACTCACCAGTGCACTGTATTAGCAGCTAGTAACCATCTGCCTGTGGTGTCATCTGTTGCGTCCCCCAAGAAGCCTAGCATAGTTAGTAGAACCCTGACATAAAGCACAGCTCGGCCTATCAGTGATGCTCATACCATTAAGGCTAGCACACTCTCTGATGGTCAGTTTATTTTTCCAAATCAGTCAGCAAAGATGTCGCTGATTAGTGTTATTGATTGCCCACTTAATGGGACTACATTCACGGGAACAGTTGAGAAGAAGGTACCAAATTTAAAGAGAAAAAGAAAAGGGGGGACAGAAAGACACCAATTCTTACCCAAAATTTTGGCACTTACAGGTGAATGATGGCACGTTTTAACATATTGAATCTATCCTACCACTCGTACCTCCTGCCTGATGAAAAGAATCTCAAGGTAGTAATTTGGAATCTACCCATTAATGTCACCTTTGTTATTCAAGAGAAATTATTCCAAAAATCATTCACTCTGCTCAAGATAGAGGAGTTGATGCATAGACAGTGCATGGAGAAAGAGAAAATGCCTCTCTATCTAATAACATTGCCTAAAACACCTGTAGCTGTGAAATTCTCTGAATGTTAAAATCCAAAGGTACAGAGGTTGGCATGGGCTGACTCAGTATTTCTGGTGCTAGCAATTTCACCACACTTAGTTTGTGGGTTATCCCGCCATGGTACTATAAATGCTGTTGAGATGATGAGAGCAGAGACTGCCCGAAGTCCAGAGATACAGAGCCAAGATGTTGCAACTGTGTGGGAATTCACACTAGCATTTAGGGGAGTTGTGAAGCATTTCCCAAATAAAACCCTACCACAAAAACCACTTGTAAGAATTAGGACAGATTCATCATCAACAAACATAAGTGCAGGTGGCAAAATCAGATATTTTCTGCAATAAAATATTCAAGCAGTAAAAGAGGTGCAGCTGGTCATGAAAAATTTTTAAACTTATTACATTACTAGATAGTTCCCAACATCTGGCTACAGAGCGAAAAATAGTGAGGCCTATTGTTCATGGCTGATGCCCAAAGCCTCACCAACAATAGAGTTTTTTTTTTTTTTTTTTTTTTTTTTTTTTACAAACACCAGTCTATCAGCAAAGCCAAATATGACATTGTGCCTCTGTAGTATGAATTTCATTATACTTTTCCATATCCATTATACTTTCCATATAGTACTCCATTTTATTAGCTGAAAATTTGAAAGAGCTAAAAAGAATTTATAAAATATCATAACCATGGTAATACAGCAGAGGTTTGTTGATTCTGGGTAATTTTTATTTTTGTTATTCTATAGAAATTGATTTAATGATTTTGTTTGTTTGTTCAGGAATATGCAGAAATACTGTATTTTAGCCTATATGTGATTAGGTTTGAAAGATGTTATTTATTTATTTGTGTATTTATTTTTCTATTTGTCAGCCTAAATTAACAGTTGCCAAGTGCAGAAGAAATGCAGATAATTTTTTAGAGGCCTGCAGGCGTGTAGGTGTTCCAAATGTGAGTAGTAATTCCTTATACTATAAAATGTATTTTTGTATTTAAAGAAAATTTCATTGACAAGAGAACTCCAAATATCCTGGTTATTTGAGACTGTGTAAGAATCTGATTAGCTGGATTGTATTTTTTCAGTAAGTGAATGTGTGTTTACTGTAATGCAAATAATGAAGTTTGATTTTCTTTTGCTTAGATTGTACTGAAATTTTTTTTTGTTCCTCAAAACAAAATGTAAAATTGTGGAATATAATATATGGAATTTTTGAATTTTCTATAATGTTTTTCACCCTTTGTGCATGTGCTATGTTATTGAGAAATTAATAATCTTTCAAAAATATTTATTCCAATGAATATGCATCATGTAGTAATGCAATCAGCTTAATAGTGCATAAGATTCTGGAGCATTTTTAAGGCATCAAAAGATGTTGCATTTGTAACAGAAGTATTATTTTTAAATAATTAAATTAATTTACTTGAGCTTTAATTACATTGGAATATTGGGTAAGATTTCTAGATCATCATATGAATCCTCGCCTTATAATTAATTAACTTAGAATCTGATAGCAGCAATCATAAAATAAACTAAGACATGCGTTTGTACTTGGCTTGAAGTTACAAAACTAAAATGATTAACAGAAATATAACACCTGCTTCTTTCAGGATGATAATGTGATGTAATTTAGATTGTTTATAAAACAATAGCAAATTGGAGATAAAAAACCTGACTCCCATGCTAATGCATTGTGTAACATAAGCAGAAGCAACTGCTAAGCACACCGACAATCAGCAGAGTACGTACAGACAGCTGTTGGTAGAATCTGAGTTATTGCATTCCTGGGGAAAATATGTGATACTCTCTTCCTTAACTTAAATTCTCTATTTAAACTCATTTAATTTGCATTTCTGGTGGAGTTGCTGGGATATGAAAGCATAAATTTACATGTTTACACTATATTATTATACATAAAAAGTTATAAAGCATATATATTAAATATAAAAATGTATATGTTAAAAATAGTATACTAGTTAAATTAAACCTTCTGAAAAGAGCTGCAAATTTTTGAAGATGATAAATTTTATTGAGATACATAGGAAGGACTAATTTTAGTTCTTTTATTTTGGGGAATACTATATAGAATGCAAGCCGTAAGCGAAATTCCTTGAGTAGCTAATTTTTTTATGTGTTAATAGCAACCATCTCTTTAGAAACTGCTATTGTTTTTCTTGCACTTTGGGAATATTGTTTGAGGGGAATATCATAGTTTCCTAAATTTGTTTTCTTCAAGCTTTCATAAATCTTTCGCCCTTTATCACGTCTCATATCCTTCAGGTGATGAAAAAATTTGAAAAGTGTAGTAACTTGTTAAAGGCTATCAAACTTGGCAACACCAATTAATTATACACTCCAATGCAATTAACCCTTTGAGTGGCATAGGTTTTTGGATCTGTCATGAAGACCTGTATTCAAAGACATTTTATTAGTTAAATTTGTATATTTGCTTACTTTAGGCTCTATTTTCATAAACTTACACTTATTAAGATGATATTTATAGCACAATATCATAAATTATAAGCTAATAACAAATGACAAAAAATCTCGTGACTGGATAAAGCCGGCCATAACACTCACAGGGTTAATTTTGAAATTGCCGTGTCTGTGAAAGTTTTTCGTTCTTTCTCTCTCTCTCTCTCTTTTTTTTTAATTATCTGTATAGAAAGCTCAATTTGCTTTGCTTTCTGTGAAAATGTTTGCAATGTGAAGCTCTTGGCAGAATTCCAGTCTTTTTTTCTCTTTTTGTGCTTGTTCATCTTGAAATGGACCTCTGCTAATGTGTTAATTTTTAGAAATTGCATTAGGATATTTGTTTTTCTTTTTTACTGAATGTTGAAACAAATTCTGAGAAGGATGAAGTTAATGTTTTTATCAGGAAGAGAAAAAATGGAACTGCTTCTGAAGAATGATTCCAGACTAGATATTATTTTTAGGAACATGTTAAATTAGTTGGCATAGACTCATTTTATGTGACTAGCTCTTTAATAGTTAAAACACTAGAATGCATTTAAAATTTTATTTAATTTTTTGTATAAAATATCATGAAATATGGTTTTTGTTTTTGTGTTTTTCAAAGCCCAGCTAATTTTTTAATCAGAGTTTATAAGCTGAAGCTGACTTTTGACACCTTTTATATTATTTTATGTATTTAATTTATGTAAAATGTAAAAGATATATAATACAATATATGTGTATATCTACAAAGTATTAGAATAAAATTCAGTTCCAGTTGAATTGGTATATATATATATATATATATAACTGATAATGATAATTAAATCTATCTTGAATATTTTTCATTTAAAATATCATTTCCATGTGGAAAGTAGTTTTATTTGAGTTTATGAGCCAAATCTGCAGTTACAGGTTTAAAGGCTTTAAAAATCAGCTAATATTTAATTAAAATGGCAAATAATAATTTCAGTTTTTTTTTAATATATAATTATGAAGGTTGATGCTTTGTTTATGATCCTAAGGCAAACTAACCACTATCTGCATAGATAACTGAAAACTATCCTCAGCCTAGAGCCTCAGCCTAAACTTCATGTATTGGCTGGCAATTCTTTTAATTGCGGTGAATAATTAAAAGGAAATTTTTTGCTCGAATAAAAAAAGTCATACAGTGAATTCCCTGCCATATAGTGAAAACCCAACTTCTGAGAAACATTCATGTCATTAGTTCGGAAAGATTCAATCTTGTAATAGATTTTTATTACTCTTTTTCACATCAGAATTATTATCAATCTTCTTATTTGGGGGGGGGGGGACTACTCTGTTTAAAATCATCTCCCTTGCTTGAGTTCTCCTGCTCCCAATCATCTTCCTATCTTCCAGTCATTTCCCTTATGAGTCATAAAGATTACTTTTATTCCTAAAATGAAATCTCACATCAAAGAACACAGTTTTGTCAGCTTTTGAAAAGGGGGGAATAATGAGTTTTCATGACTGCATTGGAAAGAATATATACACATACACACAGAAAGAGGGTTAAGCAATGAAGACATTTTTTTTTAAATATCAAATTTTCATGTCTCTCCTAAATTCGAAAGATATATATAAGTGTATATTTTAAATTCTTTATTGAAAACAGCTTGTTGCTCATCATAATATACTGGCATACCCGCTACATTTGGATAATCTACTCAATACAGTTGGGTAACCATATAAATTATCATGGCCGAAGCACTGGATGCATCTTTCGAGGTATCAATTTGATTTAACCAAAATCAGTATTGAGCTGTTCAGTGATTGGCATTCCAAAACTTTCGTCGTCTTTGTTTTTTCTTTGCCGTTCTCACTTGGATGTTGTTGCTTCGTAGTCATGTATCTGAAATATGAAAATGTCCAGATATATTTACCATGTGTATCAACCAAATCAGCACTTCTAGAACCTATTTATCACACCCTAAATATCAAAAACATATTTTTAGCTGGAGATAAACATGTTTTCTTTTCGTACAGTGTTGCCATTGTTCGTTTTGAAATCATTGAGTTTGTTAATCAAGAATACATTAAAATGTTGCAAAATATGAAATCGATAATAAAACAAATTCCAAATTAAGGCTTCCAGATACTCATATTCGGTGGAAGATCAGGTTATTCAAAATTTGATGGCTCTAGGTACATTGTTTTATCACAGTGCGAGAAACATACATACATTTATGCAGATTCTTCATTATTTAATTTCTTTAAATATAACACGGCGATAATATTTGGTGGCAACAATTTGAAAAGTGATATGATGTTTATAATGATTCAACGCAAAAATGCCATAATGAAATTAATAGCCCTTCTGGGCTAAAAACTGTCAATAGAGTAACGTAAATCTGTCTTCATTAAATAATCAAAAATAAATAAATAAATAAAAATTTGAAAACGACTGGTACATTAAAGAACATGTTACCACTAAACAGTGATAGTTACAAAATTTAGCAAAAGTATCTGCCATGTCCCTGTGGTAAACATATTAAACTGACTAGAGATCTGATCTATAAGGAAACTTTAATTTAATACACTTACACAGGTACATACCTACAGATACGCATTTTGTAAAAACATTTTCTTTCTTACCTTTTTTTTTTCAACACGGGGTCTTCAAAAGTGATATCTCTTTTATCCAAATTAAAATTGCTTTATTACAGTCCCAGTACTTTCTCTATATTATAGTAATTAGTGACTGGTGAGAAAGTAATAAAGAATGTATTAATTTTATTTTACTAGCACACATTTCTACTTACAATTTAACACTAGCAGGAAAATCTACATGACTCATGTAGATAATGCAAACAATGTAGTGACTGACATGTGATGTTAAAAAATTTGCTACCCTAAATAAAACAATATTAAACTAAAATCACTGACATTACTGTCTCAAATCTTATCTGAGAAAATTTTTTGTTTACACTGTATTTTACGACTAAAAAAGCGTGTGTGCATGAAAAATATTATTTGTTGCAAGTTTAGTGGTGGAGAAGTATAATGGGTTGTTCTAAATTTATTATTATAGCTCAGTTTTTGAAAACACCATTTTCTCCTTCGGCCCAGTTTCCTGCCCCTGAAATGTGCCATTCTGGGCATTTACTCTATTTGCCCAACCCTCAAATCAAGTTTCTCTCAACTTTTTCTACAGAGCATGGCAATTTTTTTGTCACATCCTCAGAGCTGGTACACAATGTGGGCAGCGTCCCCTACACCAGCAGCATTCATGCTTTGAGAGTTTTCAGATGGCAGCAAAAAGGGCTGTGTAAATCAAAATAATTTTATTGACCTGCTATATGATAAAATAATTCACACTACTACATTATAACTGCTGAAAGTTCTGTTACTATGATGACCAGCTAACTTTCCTCTTTAGACATCTAATGATATGAATCAGTAGAACATGCAAGCAAGATTTTCAAGTCTGAGTGATACAGAGGTTTTGGATTTGCTTTACTGGGATTATGGCAAA